CCCCCCACTCCCCTCTCTCCCCTTTAAAGATGACATTGCAGGACTAGCCCCCCTGCGGGGAGGGATAAATGGGAGGCAGTGAAACACTGCAACAAACTATTTGTCATTTGAACTGTGCTTTTAGGAGACGGAATAAAAAGAGGACAGGCTCGCACCGTAATGATGGAATGCAAGCCAAATGTCACTTTTATTTCTATTTAGTTATTTTATTTAATAGGGGTTTTCATAGTTGGCTCGGAAAATTGGAAACTACCTGACTCTGACTTCCAATGTTTAGTAAAGAGTTTTTAATACTTTCCGGCATTTTTTCTCCTCCCGCCCCCCCATCTTTCCTTTTGAACTCAAAGTTTTTCATCATCTCTCGCGGGTTTGTCTAGTTAATAAGTGTGATCAGGGCTAGGAGAGGCCAGACGATGTAAAATTGAAATCCGCAGCCCGTGTAATCTGTGCATGCGGGGGCACGGGGGACGCGCGCCTGTGAGCGCCTCTTGTTTAAAACATGGAAAAGGGGCAAAAAACGAGAGAAAATGGGAACTTCTGGGTAGTTTTGCCAGAGCGTGTGCTGGGGTAGTTGTGAGTGTATTCCCGGGATTTGGCTGTGGCTGCTGCCGGGACGTGGGCCCCAGGGTTTGGGGTGAGGCGAGAGGGGTCCCTGCGGGGCAGAGGGGTGGCAGGGATGCTGGCAGCTGGATGGGGTCCCTCGGGGGCTGGCAGGGTTTTTTTTTGCTATTTTTTTGACTGAAAAAGAAGAGGAAGTTTGCACTAAAAGGCTTTAGCGAAAACTTTAAAAATCTAAATTTTTAAAAAACTGTAGATCTTTAAAAATTATAAAGGAAAACTTCTGCAGAGTAATTAATTTTCCCTTAAAAAAGCTTAATTTTTTTTTAAAGCTATCCCTTTTGCTTCCCCCCCCTCCTGCCCCCCCAACTAGTTTTCTACCTTGTCCTTTTTCCTCCCTGGAAAGGAGGAGCAGGGAGGAGAAGTCAGCAGGAGAAAAGTTGTGCTTTAAAAAGCAGAGGAGAAGCAGGGGGAGC